CAGTTTAAGTTTAATTTAAAATCTCTCCTTCAGAGGTAAGTAAAATTGTAAACAAGTATAACTCCAAGAATGTGTCAAGATGTGCAGAGATCCACAATTTTGCCAGCATCAAATGTAACTGCAACTTCACTCTTGCTCTTTTTGCAAAAAAGCTAGGTGTCACACTAACAGGCAAAGGATACCATCGTAAAATTGCTTTATCTATAATGTCGAGTTATTGTCAATCTTAGTGATTTCTTTAATACTCTCCCTTTGTTAATTCAGTACACACTATAATTGTGAACTAAACTGATTCTTCATTCTTACATTCAGTACCATTCTTCTTGTTAGCATCAACTGGATCCCTTAAAGAACTCCAGAATGAAAATGCTATCAAACAAGGTTACGCCACTACCCCCATAGTGCAAGAGGCAGAGACTATTTTCTAAATGGGGAAAGGCTCTGGAAATTGGAAGCACAGAGAGACTTGGGAGTCCTAATTCAGGATTTGCTTAAGGTTAACATGGAGATTCAATTGACAGTTCAGGAGGAAAATGCAGTGTTAAGGGTGAGAATACAAGAGCAGAGATGTACTGCTGAAGCTATATAAGGCTCTTGTCAGACCTCTTTTGGAATATTGTGAGCAGTTTTGGGCCCTGCATCAAAGGATGTGCTGGCCTGGGAGGGGGGCCAGAAAACTTTTATGAGGATGATACTGGGGATGAAGGGCTTGTCATATGAGGAGTGGTTAAGGATTCTGGGTCTGTACTCAACGGAGTTTAGAAGGAATGGGAAGTTTTCATTGAAACTTACAGAACATGGAGAGGCCTTGATAGAGTGGACGTGGAAAAGAGGTTTCCACTAGTAGGAGAGATTAGGACCCAAGGGCACAGCCTCAGAGCAAAAGGATGCCTGTTTATAACTGAGATGAGGAGGAATTTCTTCAACTAGAGCATGGTGAATCTGTAGAATTCATCACTACAGAAGGTGAAGAAGGCCAAGCCATTGATTGTATATAAAACAGAGATAGATAGGTTCTTGGTTAGAAATGTGATCAAAGGTTATGGGGAGAATGGAGTGGAGAAACAGATCAGCCATGATTGAATGGCAGAGCCAACACAATGGGTCAAATGGCTTAATTCTGCTCCTAATTCCTCTGGTCTTATGGTCTCTTCCGCCAGAAGGACATGAACTGAAAACCACAGAGACATGCCAGACCAAAGCACAGGTACTTGCTGAGAAATGGCATTATTCGGATCAGAGATCTAAATGATGTCTCTATCACTTGATGTCTGCTGGACAGACAGTTCATTGAATTATTCACTTGGTAATGAACATCCACTTAGTACCAATATATTGCAAGACCCAAAGATCCAACAGGAAGAAAATCAACAGTTCAGTTAGACTGAAAAAGAAGAATTCCAAATGCAACTCAGAACTAATCTGGAAAATCTTCATATTTCCAGCCATATATACACATATAGCATATACTTCCATATAACAGTGTACAGTACATGGTAAACTGTTCATCACCAGAACGGTGGGATCAACTAAAGCCAGCAAAACAGACACTTGTGCCTAGACAATTAGGTTTGAACATCGTAAGGACTGGTTAAATGAAACTGATTCCGAAATACGTGAGCTCCTAGAACAAAAACCCGAGGGCACAGCCTCATTGCCCATACTGATAACTCAAGACTGCATGTCAAGCAGGCAACATTCCAACGGCTCAAGTTTGACAGTTCATTTCGGAAGGAAAAGGACTAGCCACGGAAAAAGCAAGCCCGAGAGATCTGACGATGTGGAGACCATCATGAAGGTAAAGCTTTTATGAAGCCACCTGTATGATCTACAGACCAAGGTCAAATAGACAAACTACCTTTATATGGAGCTCCTTTACTCATGGATGACAACGCTATCCATCAAAACTGGAAAGAACATTTTCAACAACTTGTCAACCTTGAGTCCATAATGATAGCTGATACTCAACAGGCCATTACCTCTAGTCCCAGTCCATGCTGAACTACCATCAAGAGGAGAATCAAGCAGAGAGAAAAATGAAAAGCCTGAGGTCCCGATAATGTTACATTGAAGGCCTGCAAAGATTTAAAAGCTGTTACAGAGATAGTAGGAACTGTCGATGCTGGAGAATCTGAGCCAACAAGGTGTAGAGCTGGATGAACACAGCAGGCCAAGCAGTATCAGAGGAGCAGGAAAGCTGACATTTCAGGTCTAGACCCTTCTTCAGAAATGGGGGAGGGGACGGGGATTCTGAAATAAATAGGGAGAGAAGGGGAGGTGGATAGAAGATGGATAAAGGAGAAGATAGGTGGAGAGGAGACAAACAGGTCAAGGAGGCGGGGTTGGAGCCAGTAAAGGTGAGTATAGGTGGGGAGTTAGAGAGGGGATAGGTCGGTCCAGGGAGGATGGACAGGTCAAGGAGGCGGGATTAGGCTAGTAGGTAGGAGATGGGGGGTGGGGCTTGAGGTGGGAGGAGTGGATAGGTGGGAGGACAGGTTAGGCAGGCGGGTACGAGCTGGGCTGGTTTTGGGATGTGGTCGGGGGAGGGGAGATTTTGAAGCTTGTGAAGTCCACATTGATACCATTGGGCTGCAGGGTTGCCAAGTGAAATATGAGATGCTGTTCCTGCAACGTTCGGGTGGCATCGTTGTGGCACTGCAGGAGGCCCTTCCACATCAAACAGATGTTCACCTGCACATCTGCTAATGTGGTACACTGTATCCGCCATTCCCGTTGTGGCCTCCTCTACATCGGGGAAACCAAGCGGAGGCTTGGGGACTGCTTTGTGGAACATCTACGCTCTGTTTGCACCAAACAACTGCACCTCCCAGTCGCGAACCATTTCAACTCCCCCTCGCACTCCTTGAACGACATGTCCATCCTGGGCCTCCTACCCTGAAGAAGTTACCAGCATCTGCAGTTCCTACTATCTCTGAAACAAGGATGACAGTTTCATTCCCTAAAGGGCATTAGTGAAACAGATGGATTTTTTTTTCCCCCAAACAATCAACAACTGTTTTGTGATCATCATTAGATTCTTAATTCCAGATTTTTATTGAATTCAAATTTCACCATGTGTTATGGTGGGTTTTGAACCCAGGTCCCCAGAATGTTGCTGGAGTCTGAGATTAATAGCCAGCGATAATTCCTCTAGGCCATTGTCTCCCCCAAATGTAATATCCTCTCTAAGACTTAAAAGTATTCTATGAAACACAGGCCACAGATTATGATTAATCTTATTCATTTTCCATAAGGTATTTCAACCTTTCTATGACATGAACTGCTGGATAATATCTCAAACGTGCAAATGAAACGTTGTTTGTTGTTTCAATACTGTCAAAAAAAACTGATATTTATTACTGCAAAATTTAATTTTTATGCCAATATTAGTTATGTATTTTACTTCATTGACAATAGGAAAACCATTGCTAACCTATGGTCACAATGTTCCTCCTATTTAATTTGAGCCCTTCTCTCTTTGAACCATTTCTTTGGTAGTCTATGGAATTGGGATCTGTTGTGCTTGAGACAGCAAATATTGGAGCTGCCTTGCTATCACATTTTTAAAATCACCAGTAGAACATAAAGGCAAAAAAAATCACAAAAAAAATTGGTTCGGTTGATAAACTTTTTTTCTTGTATATGATGCGGTCCAGATTGGTTAGGCCAGCATTTATTACCCATCCCTAACTGCCCTAAAAATGGCAGTGGCAATAAGGAGCGTGATAAGTCATCTTTTGCAAGTTATCAGGGACAGCACCCACTTGCGGTTTTCATGGTAAGGTGCAAACCCACGATATTAGTTAAAATCTTAAATTCTTGATATAATGAAAACTATGAGCAGATTGTTGTTGGTGAGTAGCAAGGCACCCAATTGCACGTATTAGTATGCAGCAGCACCCTAATTATTGTGCCAGCTCACCTCATTAACGTGCAGTTTCCCATTCTCCCACTTGCAGGATAGAAACTAGATGGTGACAATTCCTGGCATGGTAGTCAGAGTGGTAACTGGTGACTCCAGCTCGCCGCTTGACCCTCTATCTCCCCGTCCTCCACCGTTATCACAGGGCACACTACAAGGGCTGCGACCACACACACACTTCTCCATAAGACTACAAAAGCAGGATGCCAATTTTCCTCCGTCCAAAATGTCTGCGGCAACTGACAGGAACAATGCAGGGCAGCTATGGACTACTTGTGCTTGACAGGGTGCACAGCTGGCCTCGAAAGGTGGTGCCAAGAAGCCAGGGAAGATCCTGGCAATGGAATAATACACTGGGCATTGGTGTAAAACAGAGGTATGGTGCATAGGTCATGAAACAAGTTCAGAAGATAGTGAGAAAAATCATTGGGGGTCGCTGAGAGAAATCTTCCATGAAACTCACCAAAATGAGCTGATTTCTGGTCAGATTCCATCTTTAGGATCAAGAATAGGTCATTCAGCCCATTGAACCCATGCCACCAATGAATGTGACCTTCCTTGTGATAAAGAATACCATTTCTTTCACCACTTCTAGATTACTTTATGTGACCATGAACGAGTTTTTGGTGATACACATTTCACTAAATTGCTTTGCACTCCACACCATTAAAGAAATGCTCTGAACTTTTTCAGATCCAAAGTTAATGAGCTCACTCTTCCCCTCACTGAAGTCAGTCAAACTTGTGCCCACTCATTTAATCCTACAGTCGTACATCGTTTTTATTCAATTACTGCAGAACAGTGACACTGATAATAAATGAACAAAATTACAGAATTGCATCGCCAACATACATTCACAAAAATCCAGAAACATCTAGAATAAAAAGCGTTCAGCTTTACACTGGCAACAATCGTCATCAAAATCTGGGGGGGGGTTGCCTGCTTGCCTTGTATCGTTGCTTTACGCCATCCTCAATTGAATCGGTTAAAACAAACTATTTCAAGTAATTGTCGGGGAGATTTGATGTTCATCAAGTTCAGCTCCCGAATACTATAAGTACAATAGGTTGGAGTTTACCTGCAAGGCTGTCCGGATCTCCCGGTGCTGGCTCCGAGAAACCCTCGACGTTAGAGTCGGTTGGAGATCCGACTGTCAGACTGAGACAGGCGGTGGGAATGCAAAAACGAATCCAGATCAGAGAGAGGAACACGCATCGGTTCCAATCCATCCTCAGCGACAGCCCGGCCAAGAACCCTGCAAGAAGTAGCGCACAAATAAAAGGCGATGAATATCAAAAGGCATGAACTCCCAGAAAGGAGCAGTCGTTCAGTACATGCGAGTTTAGGAAGAGGTGAATGTTAAAAATGCAGCAATTGTTACATTGCAGCAAGTAACCAGTGGATGGAACGTGCCTTGTTGAGTCACAATGCGGCCGAATGTTGTCCAGATCATCCCCGGTTCCAGAACAGAGGAGCCGCATGCCAGGATCCAGCGGCCAGGCGCCGCTTCCGCACCAGCATCAGTAACATGAGGAAAGCCCTTCCTCTACATTCCCTTTCCCCACCACCATCATCATCATGATGCTACCGTCGATCGGCTGTTTGAAGATCCGACTCAAAACCTCTAACACAAACCGAACGATTGCAAAGACCTTCGCTTTAAAAACAAATACTCATGCTGCTCACCTTCGAAGAAACAAACAGAGCGGCGCTTTTGCGATTGGTTCCAGCTCCGGTATTTACTCTGTGCGCGGATCCTCACACCAGAACTTCAAACAGGTCATTTGCGGGAAGTTAATGGTTGGTGAGAATTGAAGCTGCATCGATCCGGGGGATGGGGGGCGGGGGAGGGAAATGGTGGGGAAGCGATGCCGGTAACTGGGTGGCGGAGCTCTCCCTTTGACCAGCCGGGATCTGAAATTGCAGGCACTCGGAGTCAGACAGAGAGCCGCAGGAAACTGCTGCTCACACCCTCCAACTGTAAACTACAGAATCTGCTTGTCTCCCACCCACCCCCGAAACACGCAGCATCTCTTTAGATAGCGTCTCGTCGCCTTCGTTCTCAGCAGAAACTTTATCTGCCTAAGTAGGGTTCCTTCCCCCTCGCTCTGCTATAGCATGGTTACTTTCCTTATCCAGTTTCTTGGCGTGTTGGCAGGCGGGAGGGTGGAGGAAATCAGTGTGCAAATATGTGACATCAGCAGGGGGCTGTGTGCAGTGCAGCTGCGTGGCGCTGCGGCTCTGTTTGCACGGAATCCTTTCGGAAAGTGAGAGGGAGTACGTGTATGGGAGGCCGGCCTGAGCACGGCTCTGCAGCGGGGAGGCGGGAGAGAGAAGGTGGGTGAGGGTACTGCTACAGACCGGGGGGTGGGGGTATGTGGGGAGGCGTTGCAGGAAACGTTAAGAACTCGCCGCACAAACAGCGATTCTCGCCCCTCCTCACTTGTCGCTATTGGTTGCTTTGTCACAACATGGCAGCAGCCTATTGGTGTAGCAAAGGGATCATTCGAAGCCGGAGGCGATCAATGGTGTGAAAGATCATCCAGCAGTTTCTTCATGTACCGCTCAGGGATCTGGCTTGCGGCATTTTCCCGATGACTCATAGCTCCTGGAATGGTTATTTCCTCAGCAGCAAGAAATACGGAAAGGCAGAATCTCGAAGGAATTCTTTGTTGTGTTAGTGTGCATGCATGCGCCTCGGTTTGCGCTGTAAGAGACTGGAAATGACAAGCAATCTCAACAATCACATTGCAGAGACAACAAGGTGCAGGGCTGGATGAACACAGCAGGCCAAGCAGCATCATAGGAGCAGATGTTAGGTCCTGCAGCACATGTTCACCACAGGTTCTGGTAATACCACCTTACGTTTTGGAGAATATTCTTTACCTTCAGAACAACTCTCTTTTGAACTAGTGCCCACAGTTCTGCAATTTGACTTTAGATCAATATGTACTTTCGAACATCCACAGAAATAATATTGAAGGAACACAGCCAACATTCAAGTTTTCCGTGTTTTTTAGCACCCTTCCATGGAGGAGAGATGATGGTTATGCAGGAAACAGTTCATAGAAACATAGATAGCAGGAACAGGAGTAGGCCAATCAGCCCTTCAATCATGCCCACCATTCAAAATGATCCTGACTGATCAAAGCAACTAAGAACCTGTTCCTACACTCTCCCAATACCTTTTGCTTCTTTTAACCCTATTAACTATATTTAACATATTGGAAACTTTCAGTTGTTTGGCACAAGTATTTTCTGTAGCAGAGAATCATCTTGCTTTCATTGGTCATAACATTGAGTTGGGATGTCATGTTGCGCCTGTACAGGACATTGGTGAGGCCACTTTTGGAATATTGTAAACAATTCTGATCACCCTTCTATAGGAAGGTTGTTGTTAAACTTGAGAGGGTACAGAAAAGATTTACAAGGACATTGCCGGGACTGGAGGATTGTAGCTATAGGGAGAGGTTGAATAGACTGGTGCATTTTCCCCCCAGAGCATCAGAGGCTGTAGTGACCTTATAGAGGTTAATAAAATTATGAGGGGCATGGATAGGTGATTAGCCAAGATATTTTTCCTAGGGTGGGGGTGTCCAAAACTAGTGGACATAGGTTTAAGGTGAGAGGGGAAAGATTTTAAAAGGACCTGAGGGGTAACTTTTTCATGCAGAGGGTGGTGCATGTCTGAATGAGCTGCTAGAGAACGTGGTGGAGGCAGGTATAATTACAACATTTAAAAGGCATCTGGATGGGCATATGAATAGGAATGGTTGAGACGGATATGGGCCAAATGCTGGTAAATGGAAATAGGTCAGATTGGGATGTCTGGTCAGCATGGATGAGTTGAACCGAAATGTCTGTTTCTATGCTATATGACTCTACCTCAGTCCTAAATGATCTACTCTGTATCCTTAGACTGTCTCCCATGGTTCTGGACTGCTCGGTCATTGGAAACATCCTGTGCTTACTTTGTCTAGTCCATTATAGATTTTTTTGAGATTCCCCTCAATCTTCCAGCAAAAAAAATTCTGCGTCCAGGCATTAAAGTTAAGTTAAACTCACAATCAGATAAGCTATATAGTCGTAACCGATCCAGTTACTCTTCGTACATCAGTCCTGCCATCCAGAAATCAGTCTGGTAAATTTTTTGTGCACTCGTTCCATAGCCAGACATCATTCCACAGATGAGGAGACCAAAACTGCGCACAATAGTCCATGTGCGGGCTTAACCAAAGCCCTGTACAGTTGAGCAAAGTATTCCTGTTCCTGTGTAAAAACCAAAAGAACTGTGGATGCTGTAAATCAGAAACAAAAACAGAAGTTGCTGCAAATGCTCAGCAGGTCTGGCAGCATCTGTGAAGAGAAATGAGAGTACTTCTCTTCACAGATGCTGCTAGACCTGCTGAGCTTTTACAGCAACGTCTGTTTTTATTTCTGTTCTTGTGCTCATTTTCTCACTATGAAGGCCAACTTGCCATTTGGCTTCTTCACCACCTGCTGCACCTGCATTCTTACTTTCAGTGACTGGTGTACACAAACATCCAAGTCTCGTTGTACCTCCCCCTCTCCCAATCTATCACCATTCAGATAATAATCTGCCTTCTGTTTTTTGCTACTAATGTGGATAACCTCACATTTATCTAGGTAATACTTCATCTGCCATGCATTTTCCCACTTATTCCAAATCATACTGAAGCATCTCTGCATCCTCCTCACAGCTCATCCTTCCACTCAGTTTTGTGTCATCTGCAAACTTGGAGATGTTACATCTAATTCCCTTATCTGAATCATTAATATCTTCTGTCCAAGCAGTCATCCCTTTGATAGACCCACAAGTCACTGCCTGACACTCAGAAAATGACCTGTTTGTTCATACTCTTTGTTTCATATCAGACAACCAGTTCTCCATCCATGTCAGTACCCTACCCTCAATCCCACACTTGTTAATTTTACATGCTAATCTCCTATGTGGGACCTAATTGAAAGCCTTCTGAAAGTCCAAGTAAACCACGTCCACTGGCTGCCCCTTATTGACTCTATTAGTTACATCCTTGAAAAATTCCAGTAGATTTGCCAAGCATAATTTCCCGTTCATAAATCTATGCTGACTGTGTCCAATGCAGTCAGATGGGGAATCTTCTTAGCCCACCTTTGCTAATGACTGAACAGACTAATCCTTGAGAGAGAGGTTCTGCCAAAAGTGCTGGACATACCTATCAGTTTTTTTTTAAATACTGTTACTGATAATGTTGTTGGAGAAATAGCAAAGGCTCCAATGTTATTTTTAAGACAACATTACTTCATTCTTGGTTTCCTCTAATTTGCAAAGCTAAATTGTGCTTATAACTGATCGAGGTTTTCCAAACAATCTTTCCAGAAAGCAAGCATTTTTTTGGTTATAGAAAAGAGCCATAAATGAAGACTCTCCCACACATGCTTTGCCATTTAAATATAACCAGACTAATCAATCAGCTTTGAAATTTAAGTAGTTGCTGTCTGTTGCATTTCAGTTCCTTGGATCACTTCATTTCAAGAACATAAGAATTTAAGAAATTGGAGTGGCAGTAGGTCATTTGGCCCTTCAAGCCTACTCTGTCATCCGACAAGATCATAGCTGATCTGATTATGAGTTTAACTTAACTTTAATGCCTGGACGCAGAAATTTTTTTTTTGTACCATGGTGGTACAAAGCATTTGGAAAGGGCTTCCATAGTTCATGAAGAAATTGCTGAAGCAGTGCGTGATTGCAAGTGTTAAGTCCTGGGCAATGTTCAGGCTTGTGCCACACAAGAGCCAAGGAATAACCATTTCCAACAGGAGATCTTTGACATCCAAAACCATGACCATCATTGAATCCCCCAGAATTAATACTTTGAAGATCCTGTTAACTAGAAACTTAACTGGACCGGGCATATTTATTTAAAAGGGAATGGAGTAAAAAGTGAGAGTATTTTGCTAAAACCTATACAAGTCATTAGTCCGTTTTGGGCAACCTGACTAAGGAAAGATATACTGGCAGTGGAAATTGTCCAGAGAAGATTGACTCAGTTTTTATACAGATATGGAAGGACTGACTAATGAGGAGAGAATAAGTCGGTTGGGCCTATACTCATTGGAATTTAAAGGAATGAGAGGCAATCTTTTTGAAACATACATGATTCTTTGGGGAATTGACAAGATTATATGTGGAAAGGTTGTTTACCCTTGTGAGAAAATCTAGGACTAGAAGGCATCATCTCAGAATTCGGAATCAAAAATTTAAGACAGAGATAAGGACATTTCTTTTTTCCTCTCAGATGGTAGTAAATTTGCAAAATTATTTACCACAGAGGACTGTTGATACTGTTGATAAATGTATTCAAAGCTGAGATTGACAAGAGTTTTAATCAGTGAGGGAATTGAATGGTTAAGGGGAAAACACAGGAAAGTGGAGTTGAGGATTATCAGGTGTTGTGGGTAAATCACCACGAGTTATGTTTAATTTGGTTACTTACTAAGAAATCTCATAGACAATCAGGTACTGAAACAATGATTTAAACTTTATTACATGTAGCAATCAAAATAAGACCCCTCAAGTAAGCAAGTTAAGCCTCACAACTCAATTTGACAGTACCTGATTAATATGGTGGAAGTTAGCTATGATTCCACCAACAGTGTCCGTCTCATGAATTGTCCAGATTCGATCCTTATACAGTGATGTTCTACAAAGTTCTGCTGCTGAATTATTGTGGTGTTGAATTTTTGGACGTTTTTCTCTCTTTAAAGTTTGTGGTGTGACATTATTGATGATTCAATAGATTCCTTCATCCCCAACATTGATTGCACTTCTGGAGATCTCAAGTCTATAGCTTGCCTTCTTATCAGAAGTAGCTCCCCTGCTCCTTATTACACTTGGCCTTAATAGTTTGTTTGAAACAGCTTGTCCTGCAATTACCCCTTTACTTCAGGATATTCCTTCTGCAAGCAGTCTTAATTGCCCATTTGTACTCATCCAGATTATCAAGCAGTGTTACCACCTCATTCCCAGGAAACAGCTTGTTTATGTTGCTTTGACTCCTTCATCCCAACCATGCTGGTTAATCAACAAGTTGCTTTTAATTCCTTTATAACAGCTTCTCCTTGCCCCTTTCATCTTGGGAAATAATTTATTCCAGAAAGTTATTGCTGATTCTTTCAATCCATGAATGTATTAAAGTTCTGAAGTTTACATTATCACACAGGTCAGCCATGATCTCATTGAATAGCGGTCTTATAAATATTGTATCTACAAGAACAGGTCAGAACTTGGGTATTCTGCAATACAGGACTCCCTCTAAACTCTTAAAACACAAATCAGCAGTGTGATTGAACATTCTCCACTTCTGTGGATGAGT